ACAGATAACTTTGCCAAAGTTCTCTGACAAAGTTGAGACACGTGAAGCTTGCAGCTCCCACTACATCGCTCTGACCAAGAAGGGTAAAAGAATTGCAAAGAAACAACACTAACAAAGTTTAGACACATAAATTTTGAAGGTCTAGCTACCATATTATTACCCACAAGGGTAAAGGAACAGTACCACTGCTGGATAATTGGAAAGTCCCGGTGTGTCAACCTCTGTGCTTCGTGGCAAGGTAGACTAGCAAACATGCCCAACCTTTACTCACATTCGAGAAAACACTCCTAACAAGATTGCTTGCTCCAAAATCGAAGAGGCACCGCCCTCCGAATCTCGAGAGCCAGACTCCCAATATGATTACTTTCTCAAAAATCGAAGAGAGGGTAAAGGAACAGTACCACTGCTGGATAATTGGAAAGTCCCTGTGTGTCAACCTTTGTGCTTCGTGGCAAGGTAGACTAGCAAACATGCCCAACCTTTACTCACATTCGAGAAAACACTCCCAACAAGATTGCTTGCTCCAAAATCGAAGAGGCACCACCCTCCGAATCTCGAGAGCCAGACTCCCAACATGATTACTTTCTCAAAATCGAAGAGAGGGTAAAGGAACAGTACCACTGCTGGATAATTGGAAAGTCCCTGTGTGTCAACCTCTGTGCTTCGTGGCAAGGTAGACTAGCAAACATGCCCAACCTTTACTCACATTCGAGAAAACACTCCCAACAAGATTGCTTGCTCCAAAATCGAAGAGGCACGGCCCTCCGAATCTCGAGAGCCAGACTCCCAACATGATTACTTTCTCAAAAATTGAAGAGACACCACTCTCCGAATCTCGAGAGCCAGACCCCCAGCAGGATTGCTTTCTCAAAAATCGAAGAGGCATCGTTCTCCGAATCTCGAGAGCCAGACCCCCGACAGGTCTGTAATCTTCACACGCAACATCAGCTTTCCAGATACCACAAACCACTTTTTCAAAGTGCTCTGACACAGAGTTAAAACATGTGAAGCTGGCAGCTCCCACTACCGTGCTATAACCAAGCAGGGTAAAGGAATAGCATTATTACTTGATGTTAGGGAGACTCCTATATATGTCGACTTCCATCCCTAACGGACAGGCAGACCTGCAAAAATGCTCAACCCTTTCTCTTATCTGAGAGGGCACTCCCAACAAAGCCTTTCGAAATATTCAGCTTTCTTTCCCCCCGATAATACCTCTGTAAACAAGCTATAGTAGAGCAAGAATATCTCATATCATCAGGGTTAAAAGCAAGAGTATCCCATATCATGCTTTTTCCCTGTCTTTTCCTTTGGCCTTGTTCTTACCTGCAAGACAAGGAGAAAGAGAGCAATCAGTCAGCACTTGGAATCAAGCTTCCAGCCAGGAACTGACTGCCTGGAACCCCTTACCTGATTACTTACCTGGCATTGCTCTCGAGTACTCATCTTCAACATCTTATGCTTCCAGGGAAGATACCGCATCTCTGCCTGAGGAACAGATAGGGCAAGTGAGAAGGATACAAGGAAGCATGTGGAGACAAGCGTAACAGCACATGTGCCGATACATCCACTACTCTATCAAAAGCAAAAGTATCCCATATCAGCAGGGTCGAACGTACTCTAGATTTGATGGACTTGTTTTTGACCCTCAAATTCTTCAGTCGGCCTTATACTCTGGAGGAAACCAGAAAACCCTCCAGCCCAGTTCAAGAATAAGCCTGTGGAAAGTTACTTCTTCAAAAGCAAAAGTATCCCATATCATCTCTTCTCATTTTTCTTCTCTTTATCCTTCATGCTGCCTGCAAGATAGGGAGAATGTGAACAATCAGCCGGAGCTTTGATTGCTTACCTTGTCTGTCACCTCTTTCAGCAGATCCCCCAGCTCGGCGACTTGGGGGACTCCTACTACATGGTTTGTATCTCGCTTGACCAAGCATGAAACTACAAGTAAGCTTCAAGTGAAATTGATACATTTACCTTGTGCATCTCCACCAGTTACAGATACCACCCCTGGATGGAGGAAGAGTACTTCCAGAGAAGATGTCACATCTACCTATGAGACAGATAAGGCAAGTCAAGACGATACCACACTCCGGTACTTAGAAGTTTCGTGGCTACGAGATCATTCTCCCACAATATTTCCTAATGTCATTTGTACTAAATCATTCACTTGTACTCACTCAAGGAGAGCTTGAACCTATGTACTTGTGTAAACCCTTCACAATTAATGAGAACTCCTCTATTCCGTGGACGTAGCCAATCTGGGTGAACCACGTACATCTTGTGTTTGCTTTCCTATCTCTATCCATTTATATACTTATCCACACTAATGACCGGAGCAATCTAGCGAAGATCACAAAAAGTGACCGTTTTCGCTACCTAGGATCTATCTTGCAAGAGAACGGAGAATTAGATGGAGATCTCAACCATAGAATACAAGCTGGATGGATGAAGTGTAAGAGTGCATCCGGCGTGTTGTGTGACCGTCGTAGGCCACTGAAGCTCAAGGAAAATTTTATAGGACGGCAATAAGGCCAGCGATGTTGTATGGCACAGAATGTTGGGCGGTGAAGCATCAACGTACACAAAATGGGTGTAGCGGAGATGAGGATGCTTCGTGGGATGTATGGGCACACGAGAAAGGATAAGATTGGGAATTAGGATATCCGAGGTAAAGTAGGAGTAGACAAAATTGAAGGAAATATGAGAGAAAATCGGTTCCGGTGGTTTGGACATGTGCAAAGAAGGTCTACTGACGCTCCGGTTCGAAAATGTGACTACAGGACAGAGGTTCGGGGCCGAAGGAGTAGAGGAAGACCTAGGAAAACTTTGGAAGAGACTCTAAGAAAAGACTTGAGTACTTGGATCTAACGGAGGACATGACACAAATGAGCGCAATGGCATTCTAGGATTCATATAGCCGACCCCACTTAGTGGGAAAAGGCTTTGTTGTTGTTGTTGTTGTATATAATATGTATTTGTCACATCCCGGCCTGGCCCCTACCACATCGTGGGCTCGACTCCGCCGTAGCACTATATTGTCCGTTTTGGGCCCGAACCACGCCTTCACGGTTTTGTTTCTAGGAACTCACACAAGAACTTCCCAATGGGTCACCCATCATGGAATTGCTCTCGCGCGAACTCGCTTTACTTCGGAGTTCCGATGGAACTCGAAGCCAATAAGCTCCCAAAAGGCCTCATGATAAGTAGAGATGAGAATATACATATAAGACTTACAGGATCCTCACCCCTAGGCGATGTGGGATCTTACAGTATTTATGTCCTCCACTTGATTTATTATTTTGACATGGTTGGTATTACTGATATCTCAAATTCAACAAGTAAAAATTGGACTCCATGAACAGTATAGGTTCATTATGTTTGTTTACTCAAAACATTACTTATATGTTGAAGATTTTTGTCTTTTATGAATCTTCCTGAGCTAGAGGTCGCACTTGGTGCGATGGCAAGTGCCTTCGCCGGGCGGTAGGTCTCGGGTTTGAGACTTGGGAGCAGCCTCTCCATAAATGAGGGTAAGGCTAGCCGACATTCACCTCTCCCAGACCTTGCGTAAAGCGGGAGCCTTGTGCACTGGGTACGACCTTTATGAATCTTCCTGAGCTCATATTGCACTAAACTCAAACTTTTTTAGGAATATAAAGTTGGAAAATAATTCTCTTTTGTTTACTGCTTTTAAAGACATGAGGATTGTTTAATGGATTATTGTATCTTCAGGCACCGGACTTGATAAGGAGAAAGAATGTTGATGGATTCATCATTGAAGGGCAGTATGCGAATGATGATGCCACATAATTGGTTGAACTTGCTTCCAAATGTCTTCAGTCTAAGGCTAGGGATAAAGGAGATGTTAAGTTTCTTCTCACAGCCATTGCACCGCTTCAAAAACAGAAATAGGTTTTGTGTTATCCTGAAGCCATCAGTTTGCTATTTCTTTGTTTCGTGTGATACATAGTCCCTCTAATTATTCATATTGGTTGGTTTAGGTGGCCTCTCATGTTTTAATGGGCCTCCAAAAAAACACTATTGTGGTTCCAACCATGCCTTATCCTCTCGGAAAGGCTTCTGCCACCTATTTTGTTCCTTATTGTAAACATGTATGTACATAGTATTGTCTATTGTATATATATTTAGAACTTTCAACATGTTTTTTATAGTTTTAAAACCTGCAGCGCCGCGCAGGCAATTTTTGCTAGTCTAAACTATTTAACAATTGTGTAAGTAAAGAGGGCGCAATCACAAACGTTTATATATTCTTTCACATTATTCAACTTGGACATTAATTGTAAAAAAAAATTATTTTTATTTTGAACTCCCCGTAAAAACACTATTAATGAGGGTTTGTAGGGTTTAAAAATTCAAACCACAATGTACTCATCGTCAAAGAGTAGAGGATGTTTGCGTATTTTTTCACATTTTCACAATTGTAAATGAATTATTATGAATTTTTTTTATGTGCCTTGGTTTTTAAAATTGCTTTGTATTTTGAATGGGCTTTGAAAATTTTTAATTCCACTTATATGAGATTATACTATGGCTATTGTAGTAACTGGCAAAGTTTTTATAGTATTTCAAAATTATCAAACTAATTTTTTTCTTAACAAATTGAAACAGGTTATCTATGTGTAAACTCGTTAAGAAATTTGCGACCCAATTAGTTATCGCGTTGACCCAAAATTCGTTATTTTTCATATAGTGTTAACTAGGTCATGTAAGAAATTAACAACTCTAAGATTGATGTAGCTACTTAGTAGTATGATTTAGTGGTATTCCTTCACTTGTAAGTAAAAGAACTTAGATTCGATCCTCGTCAAATGAAAATTTAAATCATATTGTTGCTAACCTATTATGAGGTTAAAATCATTTTTTTCTCTTTTAATATAAATAATATCAATAATATCGTTTGTTAAAAAATAAAAAAAATTAGCACGGGTTGTAAAGTTGATTATTAATGCGCATTCATACGAAAACAGACAAAAATTGTTGCGCTCTCTCTCTCTCTCTCATTGGCTGTTGTGTTTCCTTCTGTAGGAAGTAGGAAGGGAAGCTGCACGGCTGTCCTCTGTGAATGCGATACCTTCCTTCCTTCCTCCCTCCCTCGTTCCCGTTTGTTGCCGTCTGCGTCTACGTTCTCCCATCGCCCACTCCAATTGTAATCAAAATTAAACAAGATCAATTAAGGTAATGCATTCCTTAATTATTCATTATCATTAATATAAATCTCTCTCTTTCTCTCATTACTACATAATTAATTATATTGTAATTCATTAGTCATGCATCGTTTGCTCTATTTTCGGTCTACAATTGGCAATTTGGAACCTTTTGTCAACTACAACTTACTTCTAAAGAATTCTTGATGATTATTGTTATTGGGATTTTTTTTTATTCGAAATTCTAATTAATTCTAAAAGAATTCTTGATGATTATTGTTATTAGGATTTTTTTTTATTCGAAATTCTAATTAATTCTAAAGAATTCTTGATGATTATTGTTATTGAGATTTTTTTTTTTTTTATTCGAGCAAGCGTTATTGTAATTAATCTATTTTAAAATAGGGAGAGGAGAAGTTTGTTATTGGGAGCTTTAGAACCTGCTCTGTGTAGAATTATCAGAAATATGGGCCAAGGGCCCACCTCCAACTACATCAATTTTGTCCCAACTTGTTAATTACCATTTGCACAATCGGTCAAGTATGGAGTTTTACCACAAAAGTCCTCGGTTTTAGTTGGAGTGCGGTTTTGATATTTAAACTCTTCTTTTCTCATAGATATGGTCAATGTGGGATATTTCAACACTTTGCTCCCCTAAATCAATCTGAGCTTTAATAATTCTCAACTACTCTTCAGCAAGTTCTAAAAGACGCTAGACGCTAGTCGGGCAGTTGGCTAGGGTCAGCATGTGAGTTAACATATTCACTAGATTGTTTGCAGTGCACTAAATTAAATAATTTCTTACCTGTTCTTGCTTAATTACATGCTAATATCATTTATCTGGTTTAATGACTTCAACCAGCTATTTTAATTAATGCTTACTTGCATTGCTAATCTGCTAGCTGCTACGTATATAGCAGATTCGCAATGCAATTGCAAAGTATAATTAGTTGTATTTTTTCTCTCACCCAGATGATCATAATTTTGTTTCCAAGTGTAGTTTTGCTTTGTCTATACGTATTGTGATTTGCGTATGAATCAAGTATCAAGATATTCTTCTTTCTAGCAGTAGCAATGGCATTGCCTGACTCGTGGATGCGAGAATTCAATGATGCTTCAAAGCTTGCTGATGAAATCAATGGCATGATTTCCGGAAGGAGTTCGTTGCCAGTGTCACCCTCTGGACCAGAAACACAACGTCATATGTCCGCAACTCGAAGAAAGGTTACGATACTAAGGACAAAGCTTGAGACTTTGCACTCACTCCTGTCTAAGCTTCCCACCAAGCAGAAGCAGTCAATGTGAGTAATATTCGAATTCACTTATACTACCTGTCCGCCCGCTCTCATACAAAAGAAAGACTTTATTAGTAGTGGCATTAAGTACTCCATACCAAATTTCATAGGGAACCTTAAGTTGGTTCAGTTTTAGTGTACCTTATTACATCCAACGGGGTTAAATTAGACAAACTTCAAACTTAAATCCTATATGAAGTTTCTAAATATTATGCAGTGTCAAACTTGCTAGTTTTACGCTTCTATCAATTGAACCTTCCCCATCATGCAGTCTGAAGTTAGCAAAATATTGAACTTTTAGTGTACATCCATGTTCCAAAGAATTATTGCCTGATCAGGTACAGCCTCGAAAGGCTTCTTCATTCAAACAAATTAAACCACAGCCTTAGACTACCATCACTGGTGTTGCACAACTTCTGTCATCGGCACATTTCTTTCCTAATGTTTCTCCAGCTAGCCAGTATTATTAACCGAACTGCCCGACCATCTGTTGCCATTAACATCTGTAAACACACTTTCTTTGAGTAAAACTTCAAAGCGAAGAATTCGCAGGGTGTTCTTTGTCCTCTTTTTCAACTAAATTGTGTCGAAATGTATGGTTGGTATCGAATTTCAGAGTCATGGGATAAGGATTGCTTAACTTTTTTGGTTTTGTTTTGCTCATATCGTACTTTATTGCAGCTGGTTATCACTCTATTTACAAATTTAATAGCTGTTGTGATAAACAGAACAGGAAAAGAAATGAATCGTCGCAAAGAAATGCTCGCAAGTTTGAGTTCTAAAGCTGATCAAATGGCTACTACTCTCAATATGTCTAGCCTTGCTAACAGAAATAACTTGCTTGGCCCTGATAAGAAGACGGATGACATAATGAGCAGAACAACTGGTTTAAACAACCATGGTCTTGTTGACTTTCAACGCCAAATCATGAAAGGCATGTGCGTTTAAATTGTATGACTATTAGTTTCTCCACTATGTGATTTAGTCTGCGACTAATTGTAATACGTTTTACGTTCCTAGCAGAACAAGATGAAGGCCTTGACAAATTGGAGGAGACGGTTATTAGTACCAAACACATTGCGTTGGCAGTCAATGAGGAACTTGATCTGCACACGAGGCTTCTGGTTTACTCTTTTGCTGATTTCTTCTCCACTTTATACTGTTCCTTTCATGTTCAACCAGAATTGCACTGAGGACAGCTGCAGTTTTTTTACCTTCCGTTCCTTGCTTCCACAATGTGCAGGATAATCTGGACCAGCAGGTGGACTCAACAAATTCAAACCTACAGGTTGAATCATTACAGTTATTGCATGCTTTTCTAGCTTGAATTTCACCGGATCGCACCCACATTCACGCACCCATTCACTATTCTTTATGCTCACTTCTTCCAGGCGTAGAAACTAGAAAGTGCCACCCTAAATCTCAAATCTCTTTTCAAACAGAAGAGAACATGTTCTAAAAGAATGAATGTAGTCGTATCGTGCTGAGAAAATGCAGTATTCACCTAGTATTTGAGCTGCCTTGTTTTAATGTGTATGCATAGCTTAGCTAGTGCTTCACAAGTTGTGTGGATCTTGTATGATTTTTCATATGTTTGTGATCGATTTACCCTTTTAAGCTGCCAGTTTCATTTATTCTACCTCTCCGTTATGCTCATATTGACACGAGTTAGTTCTTGAAACAGCGGGTGCAAAAGAAATTGGCAGTACTGAACAAACGCAACAAAGGCGGTTGTTCTTGCTTGATCCTACTGGTCATTGGAGTTGTGATTTTGATAATTGTCACCTGGGCATTGATTAAGTACTTGTAGCAGTAACGAGAAACTTTGCCAATGCTCGAGTTTTTGAGCTGGATGTGATGCTAGTTAACTCGTAATCAAACGGTTGGAGAGTGAGAAACTCATGTCATTGATATATAAGTATGTGTCAAATTCTCAATCCAAAACTTTTGGTTGAATGATACATGTCTATTCATATTGGCTCTGCTGTATTGAGAGGGATTACTATTTGAAAGTGAGACACAGTTGTTGCAATTAACTTGCTTGAGCTCCAGGTTTTCAAAGAGGAACACCAGTGGTCAGATGGTGCGTAATATAAGAGCTTGTTTGGCAACCATTTCGGTTTGTTATTTTTCGCTTTGATTTTTTTGTTAGAGAGAGATATAAGAGCAACATATGGGAGAAATGAAGAGATAGAAGAGTGAAGGCAGGATGATGGGAGAGATATTGCAGAAATGTAACAGGAAAGACATATAAAATGAAAATTAAAAACCACAATTGCAAAAGTTGAAACAATAGGGGTCAAAACGAAAAATGATTCAACCTATAGGACGGACCAAATTAAAAACTCCACTTCTTGTCCATGTTGTAACTTGTATCATCGGAAGTTGAGGCCTTAAGCCCCGTTTGGCATACAAGATTAGACTGGAATGGATAACCTTCAAATTCAAGGTATATATGCCGGGACTAGGGTTCAAATCAGGCGAAAATAGTACTTGACATACAAGTTTCTTTACGATTGTTCATATGAATTTACTTTTAATTACTTTGATACATTAAAAGAATTTGAAATGCTTCATCCAAAATTTCTGTTTCTAACTTTCTATGCACAAATATTCTTTCGTGTTACAAAAAAGTGAAAAGAGTACATTTCCACTTGGCGACATGGAAAGCGAAGCCATAATATAGATGAAAATGAAGATGCGCCGTATGAACCTCAAATGAACTACTTACTAAATTTGCAATTTAACCACCATATTGACATCGGCCTATGAAACCACGTACTGCTGTAAATGTTTCGTTCTTTTCTTGTTCTTCAGTTTTCGGAATGCACATGACTCTATTTGTCTAATTCTCTCTCTACTAACTCCCATCAGCTCCCCTATCTCTTGCAGTGTCTTCATCCTTCCATCCTCCAATCCAAACCTCCATCTGACAACCTGCTTCTCTCTAGGATTGAGACTATCTAGTACCTTCTCCAAATCCCGCTTCATAAATTTTTTCATCAGCAGATCTTCTGCTGTTTCTGCATCGGGATCTGAGATTACTTCCTGTGAAGAACAACATGTAATCATCAGAAAAGGAACACACAAAAGGTGACAAAAATGTTGGATAAGAATTGCCATTTCATTGGATGTAGAGATAGGACAGACCGAAGGTTTTAGATTCTGGTTGATTCCAATTTTCTGCTCCAGAGATCTAGGGGCTTTTGGAGTCAGTAATACAGCAGAAAGCCTTTTCATCGACAGCCCTGTTGCCTCTGCGACTTCTTCATCGTTAGGATGTCTTCCATTTAAACTGTACAGTTGCTTTTTAGCCTCTCTAACTCTATATGTCGCCTCCACCATGTGAAACTGTTTTACCAAAATATTACAAATGCAAAGAGTATTAAAAATATGAAGCACTAGGATACACAGATTCAGCAGGAATGTGAATCATAACAATGATCCTCCCCGCCTCAAAATCAATTTCAGTCTCTATATTCATGTTTTGAGAAAGAAGAGACAAAAATTGGATTCTGCCATGTGTTGGTCCAGTAAAATGGGGTCCCAACCATTCAAACCTCAAGAGCCATGATACGAAATAGGAACCACAGGTAAAAAGAAATATATGAAGGTAAAACTCACGGGTAAGCGAATTGTTCTGGACTGGTCAGAAAGAGATTTTCGAACAGCCTGTTTAATCCACCAGTGTGCATAGGTTGAGAACTTAAAACCCTTTGAAGCGTCAAATTTCTCTGCACCTCTTACAAGGCCTCGACATCCTTCCTGAAAGTCAATAGCCAAGAATAAGTATTCAAAGGCGGCAAGACTTTTAAGGAAATAATTTTTTCATCCTACGGGAAAAGTAAAAGCAAATATATATATATGATAACAACGATAAAATCATACCTGCACAAGATCTTGAAGATTCATCCCAGCTCCCTGATAATTTTTTGCAATTGATATTACAAGCCTTATGTTGCTCTTGATCATTTTGTCTTTGCACAGAATACCATAGTTTACACGCTTCCTCAAAGTCTTCTGATCAACTCCTGCTGCTGCAGCCCATTGTGCAATGGTGGGCTGACCACCACATCTTTGTGCAAGCTCCTCATGCAGCTTTTCCAGTTTCAGTAGTTCCTGAAATATATAGCAATAGGCATCAGAAATCAGACTAAAGAGAAATAAATACAATACTCACATTAACTCCAAATACTAGAAACTCTTGTCTATTTACTTCTACTTGTACAATATTACAACGACTTCACTATTTCCCTACTTTTACTGGTACTCCATTACTACCTCTGCATGCATTGAACTTTCTAGGACTGAACAATTTTCTCGAAATTTTCCCCTTTTTCATCCATGACATGATAACATACTATATCAATCAAAATCCATGCGCAATTGTTATCCAACGCTTCCCAGCAAAAGCCTTGTACAATTATACTCTTCGAATTTAATTCCATGAAGTACATGAACTGGCAAAATAACTTCTCAAGTGTTGGCCATAAACAATTTTAGCGAATCTATCAATAGATTCAATTAGCCGACCCCACTTAGTGGGAAAAGGCTTTGTTGTTGTTGTTGTATCAATAGATTCAATATCAACCTATGAGTAGTATGTTTTAGCCTCCGTGATAGCCCACATAATTAGACATCAAGTATACTTAACCCATGAAAGGATATTGTGTGCATGGTTCATTTTTAAATCACTGCAAAATGGAAGTATATTTGTGAGTAGTTCAGTGAAGGATCTTCTTTACATTATTGAACTTTCTAATAGTTATCAGCGAGGATGTGACCTATCAGCTACAAAAAAGGGTAAATAAACCTTTTCATTATTTTTTTTTAATTTGTTATTTATATTTTCTGAGGGTGCAGGGGTGCAGTATCAATGAAGATTGCAAGCAAGGAGTAATTGAAAGATTTCATAAGCATCAAGGTGGATTCAAAACTCTCATGTTGACACTAGTAGTACCTGGATTCCTTCAGAAAGCTCAATTTCTTCGTTTGCAGTCAGAAGGCGAGAAGTGTGGGTAGTTGATCTCAAGTAACGCAATGGATCAGAGTGGTCTATTTCTTGTACCGAAGAACGCTTTTTTCTAGTGGCTGAACCAGACTTCATGGACACAACACTTGCAGCAGCCTTTTCTGCTGCTTTTGCTCTTCTGGCCTTCCTTTCCGTTTGACGACTCGATTTTGCAGTTATACCCTTGGAAAGTTGCTCCTGCAGAAGTTCAAATTCTTCATTTGTTCGCTCCAATTCTTCCAACTCTTTTATTGCAGATTGAATGAAATGATCTTCCACAAATGCAGTTTCAGCTCCCATGGAAGCTCCTACTCTAGAAACCTGTTTGGTTTCCATATGCTGAGCCCAATTGAAATGCAAAGCTTTAGTCTCTGGAGAAACTGGAGATGAACTTTCTGGTTTAGCAGAGTGATTAGTGCTACTGCTAACCAGTATAGCCACATCCTTTGCAACCTTCAGTGCTGCTTTTGCAAGAGTGACAGCTTCAGCGGCAGCAGCTTCTATTACAGCCTCTTCACTCATAAGAAGAGTTTCTGTAGCTAAAGTTGCTCCAAAATTCGCCTGATGAGAAACACTGAAGTTACTAGAGTTGTAAGCTCAACATCTTTCATACATAAGGAAAAATCAAATTGGGAAAGAAAATACCTGGAATCCTAAACTCAAAACCCAACAATAGAGCATGAGATCAGAATTTGTAATTGCAGTATGCTATGAACAAGTGAAGGTGGCTAGGCCACAGCATCTAAAACATGTTCAAAAACTATCTGAAAACCTAACCAGAATCCATTCAAATTTTTAGAACGGTTTGTGTTATTTATTTGAATGAATGCAAACCTAGTTTGTGTAAGTTATCTATTACCCAAGAATCATGCAAATCCGGCAGGCATTTAAAAAAAAAACATTCTCAATTTGGTCACAAGCTCAATGATAATCAAAACAAACTACCTAAATGTGTGCACGTCTGCACTTAAATATGATGACCAAGAACAAAACTAAATAGATAAATAAATTGGGGAAGCCTTACACCCATGAGTGACAACTTTAAAGTAAAGATAATATATGAATAATATGCACTGAAGAGACTCGATTATCAATTAGTAACCATTACCTCAGTCGGAGGACCGATTGCCCCTGTGTATGTCCACGGTCTACTTGAAGCCAGAGAATCAGAATTAACTTCTAAAGACGGTAATCTGAGCCTCTCCATATCAAGCACTGTAGTTGTTGCTGTTGATGTTGAATGTGATGTAGTGGATAAGATATATTGTGCCCGGAAACACAGAGGATCTCTAGTTTTTGCTGCATATTTCAACCAATAAAATCATAAGGAAAAGTTGCATTCCGTTTAATTATCACAGAAAAGAAAAAACAAATCAAATTTCCTCGTCTCCAGCTCCAACTAATAAGCCGGAGGATGGTCAATGGGTGACCATGGAAACTCCGTATGTCACTATCATCACCATCACCAACACGAACACCACCACTCACCACCACAATTAACACATATCTAACACTTAAAAGTGCGTCGCCACTTAGCTAAATGGGTACCCATTGACCATCCCTAAAGCAGGGTCTTCCACGACTACATGTTTGGTATAGAGCATCCAACAAAAGTATAAATATTCAACAAAAATTCATTACAAATATACACACACATACTTATGTGACTCATAATATTACATGAACTATTGATTCGATTGTAAAACACCAGCTTTGCAGAGGTGATAGAGTAGAGCAAAGAGCAATCAGAATGAAATGGGCAAAAAGGTAACGAGAATGCAGAAGGTAATTCAAAGGAATGAAACCTTGGAAGCTACTGTGTTTAAACAATTCATCACAGAAAAGAGTGTGTGGGGTCCTGAGGACTGTGAGCTTGGTGGCCATGACTCCTCCTCCAATGGCGGCGGCAGCGCTCCACTTCTGCTTCTTCTTATTCTTCTGGTCATTTGCTGGGTGAGCCCCAACGAGTGGGAGTGGGAGTGGGGTGAGAAATGAGGCATTGGGAAGGGCGGGTATGTGGGAATTAAATAATCCAACGGCTGCGGATGATGAGGATGATGATGAAACTGATAGGATTGACATGTCTTTCTTCTTCTTCTTCTTCTAACGCTTCAAAGGCATTGGCATGGATGCGAGAGACAGAGAGAGAGAGCGGTTTTCTTATCCTCAAGGATTTGGAGTTTTGGACCACCCAAACCCAAACCCAAACCCAAAACTAAAGAACATGCTCCTTCTTTCTTTCCGCGAATTTTTTTTTTTTTTTTTTTTTTTTTTTTTTTTTTTGTGTACAAACATATTATCTACCCTAAGAAAAGGGAGAGGGGTGGGGCTAAGTCTCATAAGGGTCTAAGTCTCATGATAGGCTAATAATAATGCGGTTCAAATTAACCTTTGGAGAGAATTAAACCTAAAGACCTCTCACTTACAAGTGAAGAAGAATACTACTAGACCGAATTACTAAGAGTTAGTTTGGTATTGATGTGATGTGAGAATTAGCAGTTGTGAAATAAAACAGTAGAGTGTTTGATAAATTTTTTTGTAAAAGTGCTTTTAGCAACAAAAAAAAAACAGTGTTATAGTGTTTTGTAAAATTTTATGTAAAACAATTGTGATTGTGTAAAATGACCAAAAATGGTCTAATACTGGATGTGTTATTAATTTATTTTTTTTTAACAAATAAAGGTCAATTACTAAATATATATATTTTTTTAAATATTTATAAACTTATCTCAAATATTAATTAGTACGACAAGTTACTTCAAAATATATAAATATTTTAGACTTAATAGTTAGGATTTATTAGTACAATATTGTTGATGTATTTGAAAGTAATCTAATTAGATGCATTCATCAAACTTGCCACTATTCTATTTCATAATGCTTCTTTCTCATGTGATCCTTCAACTGCTATCTTCACAAAAGTCACTAGATCATCAAAAATGATAATCACATTTAGAATACCTCCGTATGTAGTTATGAAGAGCTATTGTAGCAATGACAATTTTCACTTGCTTATTGAACAGGTAATTAGGCATATCCCTCAAAAATGCCCATCTTTTCTTCCATACCCCAAATGTTTGTCCAATGATACTCCTAAGAGAAGAATGCATATGGTTGAATACCTCTTTATGACTCATTGATTGAAAAACTCTTGTATCATGTGCAATGTCTTCCCATCCGACACAAGCAAATGTAAGTTGTATGTCAAAATTACATACAACCATAACATTTTGAGTCGACCTTCCTTTCCCACCAATGTATGGAACTTGATCCGGAGGTGGTATTGAAGCCTCAACATTCTGTTAAACCTAATATGTTCATGTATAATAAAACACCATTGAACTAACCTTGTGAAGACATCTTCCTAGCACAGCAAGCACTACGGTAGTAGTAAGCATTCTCGAACAATTTGAACTTCGAAGGATGGTCTTCTACACACTCACCACCACTATATTACTCGAACCTATGGGAAGTACTCCAAGTATGTGTATCGATGGTGTATACAGGGACCTACCCTTGATATTTATATCACTTCAACCCTAACATACATTCCCATAATCATATGCTAGGATTCCTTATTGAACAAGGATATAATCTACCAAATCTCAATCCAAATAGGATAGTATCAAAAGCCCTTGTTCTCCAATTATAACCGGGTTATATTCCTTTACTTGGAGTCCAAGTTATAGCTTATAACTAAACCCTAATCATACTTACATTCCACATCAATCCTTATTAACTATATTGACCTATTAGTTGTTGGATTAGAGTCCAACGTCCAACATTCTCCCACTAGGTCAATTAGCTAACTCAAGGAAGAACTTTAATGAATCTGTAAGCATGATTCTTTATTGGCCAATGAATTCAGTTAAGCTAATAAGCTTCTTGCATACTTCTGTCAAGTAAAGATTACTCATTTAGAACTATCAGAGACTATGAACTTACATGAGTTTTCATGAGCTCTCATAATCACAGAACAATATCCTTACTTACATCAAATAATCAATCACAGACTTGGAACAGAAGTGAGCCACATACCATGAGTTGAAAGCATCAACTCCATCACTTATAGGTCCACTTAATCATTCTTATTTATGACTGCTTAATGCTTCCTATGAAGTTGTCAAGCTATAAGAATAGCTCACATATATTTTTTTTCGTGGAAAAACTTAGCACATATGCCAATCAATCTCTCGACACTACTGAGTGCAGCTAATAACCTTTTACTGCTACATTGTCTCACTGTAATACATATCAGTTGCTTATGATCTTTCAACAACCTTTATTTCCTATAAGAAAATAAGAACTGGAACTCTATTGAAACAATGTTTGAATTACTAAAACAACATCCCTTTTATTAAACATTCAATTCAACTAAGTGCAGCGACTAGCTAAACACAAAACCAAACTTACTACTCACCGTTGATGAGTAGATTTTATAATATATATTTTACCCTAATCTTAGTATATTTTGGTTAATATTTTGGAAGAATTTTGATGCTTTGAATTGTATTTTCAAAATAGGACTTTCGACTTCCTTTGGAGCAAAACAGGATCAAATGGACGAATTTTGGAGTAATTTCAGTTGGAGGATGTTCGTGAGTCACTTAGCTTGATCGTATCAAAATCTGGGATTTTTTCACCAAATGGTTATTTTCTGGCGATAAAATAAAGGAGCGATGCGCAGTGCTGGAAAATGACGTTTTTGGGCTTAAATTGCATTTTTGGAGCCCAAGATGACATCGGATGGGTTCGTGACCTTCTTGAGAAGTGTTCAGAATATTCCAAACATTAAATCCAGCTATATTGGGCCAGTTTTGGAGCAGATTATGGGTCCAAAACGTGGCTGTTCAGATTTTAGGCGAATTTTACCATTTAATTTAGGGTTATGTTTCCTATTTTATTTGATTATTAATTTTAGTTTCCTAGGGGGAATAAAGGACCTGTTTTTAGGGTTTGTGTGGTGGCTTGGCAGATTTATTGCTTGGCCGTCTACCGTATTTCTCTACGCTTTTTTTTATGCAATTTTGGAGACAGAGAGAATTGCTAGGGTTTTGGAGATTTTCTACTTGAAGGTGTTTTCAATCCTTTTTTTAATAATATTTTCTATGATTTCAATTATGAATATGCGTAACTAATTCATTTTGCTAGGGCGAAGCCTTGAGCCTTAGCATGAATATGTGATTTTTATTTAATTGCTTATGATTGATTGCATGCATACTTTGAATTGTTAATCACCGGGATAAAAACTATCTAATTGTCTTAATGCCTGATCACCATTAGGATCTTTAGAAAAGTAATTTGATGCCATTTTGGTCGGAAGGTTTCCTGAAATTGATGCTGGCTTCTTGTGATTAATAATTGTAATTTCACTTAGGATGAACATCACGTCTTAAGGGTTGCATGGTTTTTCAAAGGGTTTTCATAAAGCATAATGAGTCTTTCATGTTCAGATTTTATCCGAACGTCCGGACGGGTTGCATGTTAGATATACGTTATATGTTGGAGGTTCCAAGTAGAATATGAATTAGGAAAATCTAATCTTCAAATAAGTAATTGGTAAAAGTTCATAGGATTGCTAGGTGATGGTGAAACCCTAGTGTTTTCTTAATTTGATTCTTCCAAAACTGTTTTCTTTTTCCCCCAGTTTTAATATTGCCGAGTGTTTTATTTTAATTAATTAATTTCATTTTTATTTTAAGTAGGTTATAAAATCAATCACCTCAATTTCTACTTTACAATAATTAATTGAAATTTGGTTTGTTTTGAATTATTTAATAATCCCTGTGGAGAATGACCTTGCGAGATCCGTTTATACTACAACCTTGTGATTCTTGCAAGTATTATAGGAGTTTTTATCGCATTCACATGAGTAGTAAAATCCATATCAACTGTCATAATAATAACTAACATGCATAATTTTACCACATACTATACTACTCCCACTAGTTCAACAAATCTAGGGTTGCAATCACTCCCATATTGGTTGCATGCTTGTGAAAAACTGCATTTGGTAATACCTTAGTGAGTGGATCAGCAAGCATTGCATGAGTGTCAATGTAATCAACCTTAATCTCTCCAAACTTTACTTTCTTCCTCATCAATGCATATTTGGTGTTCAAGTGCTTAGTTCTAGGAGACATTTTATTATTCTTAGAATAAAAGACAGCAGCATTGTTATCATACCAAATTTGAACAGGCTTCGTAATTGAATTCATGATCTCGAGACTGCTGATGAAATTTCTCAGCCATACAACTTGTGATGTAGCTTCATAACAAGCTACAAACTCAACTTACATAGTATAAGTGGCAACAGTATCTTGTTTCACACTCTTCCATGACACTGCCCTATTTGCCAACGTGAATATATTACCTAAATTGACTTAAGTGAATTTAGGCAGCCTGCAAAGTCTGAGTCACTGTAGCCTACTAGTTCGAGTTTTGAATCCATTTTGTATACTAGCTGGTACTCTTTTGTTCTCTGCAAGTACCTTAAAACTTTCTTGGCAGCTAACCAGTGTGCATTGCCATGATTAGACTGAAACATTCCCAATATGCTTGGTACATACATGTGTATACATGAGACTCCCAATGAGAGAAGCATATGGCTTGCTAGCCATTTCTTTCTTCTTAAAATCAGTCTTAGGGCACTGATCCTTACTGAGCCTTTCTCCCTTTGTCATGGGAATATCACAGCCATTCGAGTCTTCCATGTTGAACCTTTTAAGGACCTTTTCAATATGCTTTCTGTGATAAACCAAGTAGTCCTCTACTTCGATCTCTTGTGATCTGAATACCAAGAACAAATGATGCCTCTCCCATATTCTTCATCTCAAAACATTTAGACAGAAATCTCTTGGTGTCGCTTATCAATGATGCATTATTGCATGCTAACAATACGCATCCACTTAAAGTTGAGAAAGATCAAATAGTTTCCATTCTTTTTCATGTAAACACACTTATCACTAGGGTTCTCTTCGAAATTATGTGATGAAACAACCTCATCAAACTTCAAATACCACTGTCTCGAGGCTTGTTTTAAACTATAAATGGATTTGTTAAGTTTACATATCAAATTTTCTCTCCCTTCTTGAATGAAACCCTCTGGTTACTTCATATAGATCTCTTCATCAAGGTTTCCATTCAAGAATGCAGTCTTAACATCCATTTGATGCAGGAGTAGATCGAAGTGAGCCACTATTGCCATGACTACTCTAAATGAGTCTTTTGTGGAGACTAGGGAGAAGGTTTCATTGTAATCAACTCATTCTTGCTGAGTATATCCCTTAGCTACAAGTCTAGCTTTGTATCTCTCACCCTTGGAGTCTCTCTTAGTCTTATAAACTCACTTACAACCTATTGGTTTGCATCCTGGTAGCAGCTCAATCAACTCCCACACTTTGTTTTTATTCATGGAGTCCAACTCTGATTGTATAGCTTCTTGCCAATGTGCACTGTTAAGACTCTCAATTGCCTTTTTGAAGCGTAATGGATCTTCTTCTTGGCTACTGAACTTAGCCTCTTGCAAATACACAAGAAAATCATATGAGATTGCAGGCTTTCTTGTATGAGTGGATCTTCTGGTTTCCATATGTATAGGCTCAATGTTCTCTTCTTGAATGGTTGGTGCATTGTTCAACCGCACAGGCTCTACTGCAATCATCTCTTCTTGTGGAACAACTTGTGTTGGTTCTGCAACTTGATTATTTTGCACTGGAATTGGCACAACTACTTCATTTGTCATAGCATCACCTAGATTTTCTTCTTGCATTGTTATGGTTTCTTCATTCCAATTAAGATTATCCTCCCATTGATCATTATTAACTTCTTCAATAAACTTGGCTCTCGTAGTTTCAATGAATCTTGAGGTATGGTTTGGGCAATAAAACCTATAGCCTTTAGTTTTTTCTGGATACCCTACAAAGAAGCATGTGATTGTTCTAGGGTCCAGCTTCTTCTCCATTGGATTGTATGCTCTTGCTTCTGCAGTGCATCCCTAAATTCTCAAGTGATTTAGCACTAGTTGGTGTCTTGGGGACATATTTGCTAGGGACTTTATTCAACAAATAGTTTGCAATTGTGATTGCTTCACCCCAAAGAAAAGTGTGTAGTTTTGAATTACTCAACATGCTTTTCACCATTTCGATCAAGGTTCTATTTCTTCTTTCATTAACTCCATTTTGGTCAGGGGGATTAGTGTATTGAGCAACAATTCCATGCTCCTACAGAAACAATGCAAAAGGACCAGGCTATCTTCCAGATTCACTAAACTTTCCGTAATACGCTCCACCCTTATCAAACCTTACTACTTGATTTTGCAGTCTAATTGATTCTTTACTTCTACCTTATAGATTTTGAAAGCAGCAAAGTCACTAGACTTCTTTGCCAATAGGTATACATACCCAAACCTAGAAAAGTTATCTCTGAGCACTCTGTATGAGTATGGGTTTCAAAAGGATACCAAATCTCTGAGCATTTCTTCTTCCCGTTCGTCTTTCTCTGATTTCTGTTGCTTTCGTTTTTTTTTTTTTTTTTGTGATTTTTTATTTTAGAAACACATTTGTGATTTTTTTTTAATTTGACTTATTCAAAAAATACCAATTATCAGTTTAATTTTTTAATTAAAGCAAAACATGAATAAAAAAATATGGGAAAGAAATGTAATTTCACATCACCAAATTTTACTATTTTTTTTCAAAACCTCATCTACATGTGATCCTAACATATTTCCAATTATAAAAAAAAACTTCCCATTCTCACATTTTCTATCACTCTCTTCTTCAATTTTAAAAACAAAAATAAAAAAATTTCTCATATAAAGTACTTTATGTATGCTCATATGCTAGTATATATATGCCAACTTCTTAATATGATCATTAGTTTAATGCTGTACCAAACATTCGATTAATTTAAGGGAAGTTTAACGAAAAGCACTTGTTACTGTTCACTTTAACGAAAAACCACATTTTTACACTAAAAAGTCAATCATGGTACTATTCACTTTACCCTTTATTTTGTCCTTATCATTAAAACTCAAAGTTTTTAAGTCATTTTCATTAGTTTTCCTTTAATTTAATTACTACTATCCAACGATTATTTATTATATTCGTCTAAAATAATAAGTACGGAGCTCTAAAATGGAATCAAAACCAAACCATGACGAGGTGGATTGAGCGGGAGGGCAGAAAAAGATAGTGGCCATTGCAATTTAGGGGTTAAGCATTTCAGAGGAATCGAAAGAAAGAGGGCAAAACCCTACTCTACTGCTCATCTCCTCCAAGAGGACCACGAATGCCTTCCTTTCCTCATCCCGGTTCTGTCACCATTTGCGAAATCAATCGCGACCTCAGTCAGTACCATCTCTCTCTCTCTCTCTCTCTCTCTCTCTACACACACACACACACACACAAACATACTGATATTGCTGCATAATTATCTGCAGTCACTGCTGAGAGCCTCTCGGACGATGTAGCCAAGGACACTTATGGAAAGATTCTTGTTAGTAAACCTACAAATTCTCTCTCTCTCTCTCTCTCTCTCTCTCTCTCTCTCTATATATATATATATGTATCTATTTAATTTATGTTGGGTGGGTCGTATACATTGGCCGTTGATGTGACATTGGAGTTTCTCCGTGTGCAGGGAATGGTATTCAGCCCACTTCCGTTTCAATCGGATCAGCTGGTGCAGCCCCCGAGTCCCGACCATGATGCCGAGCAGGTTGTAACCACATCTCCAACAAAGGGATATCTAAAAAATTTGCAGGGGATTATTAACCTCACTCCTCTCTTCCGCCCTAATCATGTATGATATATTTTCTTTTCTACATTTACTAATTACCCAATTAATTTTAAACTGCTTTTTCAGTGATCTAACAGAATTGCAGCTACATTGCATGAATGGTTGTTGAATTAGTGTATGTTCCTTTGGGCTGAGTGATTACCATGGGAATCGAGTTAGGGGTTATCTAAATAACACTGCACATATCATCTTGAGCATGAGAATTATTGGGCAAGACTTGCAAATAATCCAAGTGTAGTATCCAGTATTCTTTAAATTGGGATTTCATTTTGTGCCACCAGGTGTCCGTTGGTGTTAAGACATGTACCCGTAAAAATTCATTGAATGTTGATGTGACCATTGAATTACAAGTTGACCCTAATTATCCGTACACCTGATAAGTAAATGTTGAAATTCCTTGCCTGAACCGTATCATAAATTCGTAGAGTTGGGGCCACAACTACGAATACATTGTGTTATCGGTACATTAGAAGGCTTGTAGGATGGGCCAAAGACATGTAATTGAGGAAGTGGTAAAAGGCTTCTTAAACATCCTTACTTAACTTGCAGGTAAATTTATTACCAGAAGTTGATCTTCAAGGAGTGAGCTGGCACCAACATAAACATGTCGTAGCGCTTATATCTGGCCCCAATCAAGTTATAATTCGTGATTTCGAGGATTTAGGTTAGATGCTTAACTATTTACTGCTTTCAATTATTTAAGTTTTTTGTCTGGTAATTTTGTTGGCTTGCCAATGCAATTTATACTTTAACAGAAGGGAAGGAGCCATGCATTTTGGCCAATGAATCCCAGAGAGAGGTCAAAGTACTTGAGTGGAGGCCTAACGGTGGGAGACAACTTGCTGTAGCATGCAAGCAAGTACCTCAATTTTGCTGCTCAAGATCTATATCTACATTTTATATATTTAGACAGGCTGTAAGTTGTAAGACTGAATTTCTCTCGTTGCATGTGTTTGATTTCAGAGGTGGAATTTGCATTTGGGCTGCTTCTTTCCCGGGAAGTGCAGCGTCTATCAGATCTGGGTCTTCTTCCTTCCTGGGCACTCTCTCCAGAGGTTCTGGAATTCGATATACTTTGGTGGATTTTCTTCGAACTCATAATGAGGAACAGATTAGTGCGTTGTCATGGAGTCCTGATGGAAGATATCCAAACAATCTCTATTCTGATTTTCAATTGTGGTTAAACTTTGGAGACTCTACATTACATGAATATGGAGGTTTTCCTGCAATTTATCACTGTCATCCATATCTGCAAACTTTATCAAATGTTTTGACAAAACTTTATATTTTTGTTTTCCTTTTGCATTGTATTGCCGTTTTTCACAAAAAAATTACTTTCTCTACAGTATTATGTTGTGGCATCAATTTTCATTTTATACATAGGGATATTCTCAAGCAGGAAAAGAGCCTTTATTTTCAGATTAATTTCACACTTTGTTCAGTCGTGCTATATGAGATTTCCTTGATGTGTACTTACATATTTGGCATCTGGTTCTTATGAGAGCTCATCATTTACCATATGGGATGTTTCTCAAGGTATTCATCATATATCACCCGCTTTGATTGCTACTAACATTCTATGTGTTCTCTTTTGGATGCTCACCGTCAAAAGTGTTCTCAAGTTTTCTGAATGACTTTGTTGGCTATTACATGAAATTGTTGTGTGTTTTCTGTGTTATTTAATGTTTCATTAATCAGCTTTAGCACGTTAGTTACTACATTACAACAACCATTCTAGAATTATTACTGGTAAGTAATAGATACTCCTTTGACCCTTCCTCCATCTTTATTCTTTCATTGTATTGAAACTTCAATCAAGGATTGATGTTAAAGTGGTGCGATTATGGTACATGGCTCTAGTCATAACCCATGGAAAGATACTTCCCACAGGCATGCTCCTTTCTTATGCTGCTCCCAGTTTGTTGCAGGAAACGGAGGAAGAAATAAGTTTTGCGAAGACGTGTGGTTGGGGAAATGTTCTGAATGTTCTTTTTCTCAGGCTTGAAAATATGCCCAGGTTTCCTAATAAAGACATTTCTAGCATCGTCGACTATTCTAGTAGTTTGAGGAACTGGACTTTTGGTTTGAAGAGAAACTTGAATGAGGCTTGGGTGGAAGAGTCCTCTTCTGTATTGGATGTTCCTGAAAATGTTGCCATTCACTAGATTCCCAGCACGTCTTATTTTTCCGAATTTTGTAATTCAGGCTCAGTGCCTCGTTTCACGCCTATAGTGTGATCAGGAAATCTAGAGCTCTTTCTAGGGTTAATATTCTGTCTTGGCTTGTGGATCACAATAAGGTGAATACTTGTGACATGGTCCAAAGAAGAAGGTCAAATTCTATTCTGCCCCCAATTGGTGTGCTAATATGTAAGAAGAATATGGAATTGGTTGTTTATACTTTCCATCATTTCCCTTTGACGTTACCTTGGCATAAGCTGTTCAGTGATATGAAAATAAGTTGGGTAAGGAGCTTTAAGAAAAAGTTCAGTTTTGGTCCATGCTATGGGCTGTCTATCCAATGAGTTCGGGGGTTGATCTTTCTCAGCTATCTGTTTTTGATCTGCCCTGGGAGAGGCTTTTTGTTCCGTTGTTTCTTTGCTGGCTTTTCTTTTTGTTTTTCTGTAGTGGTCTTCTTGACAACAGAATTCAAGTTGGATGGATGATTGGAAGAGTGCATCGGGTGTGTTGTGCGACCGTTGTATGCCACTAAAGCTCAAGGGAAAATTTTATAGGACGGAAGTAAGGCCATCAGTGCTTTATGGCAGGGATGTTGGGCGGTCAAGCATCAACACATGCAAAAAATGAGTGTAGTGAAGATGAGAATGCTTTGTTGAATGTTGGGATTAGGCTTTGTTGTTGTTGTTGTCTTCTTGACAACACACTCTTTGTAGTTTTATCTTGTTTGTTAGCTTTGAATTGTCTCTTTCTTAACAACACCACAACACACACACACACACACACACACACACACACACACACACACACACACACACTCATGTTAAAACATCCATGCTGTAAAGGGACAGATTGTAGCTAATTTATTGATTTCGTTTTTCTGTCAAAATAACTTGATTTGGTTTACTTTTACTCAACTTAAACCTCAAGTATTTGCGACTTAATCGTAAAAAAGTTACATATACTGATGGAGAACTGACAAAAGGAAGACTGGTTAGTAAACTACTAATGAATCCTTTTCAATGAATGATTTGGTAGATACTCAGAAGATTGGGCAAAAACAACAAAAGGCAAAGACTTCATTTGATACTGCTTTTAAAAGCTGGCATTTGCTTTTCTTTTAAAAAAGGAATGAATTATTTGGTATATTGCCTAGGTTCTTTTTCTTGTGCTTATGCTGTGTTTTTGGTGCTTTTATAAAACATTATAGGAAGTGCTTTCTAAAAGCAGCTTATGCTCGAGCAGACTGGCATTACTGAGTGAATATTTATGGATCTTTCTTTGCCCCCAAACCACTCTAGCCAGGATCTATTATTTTAAATTTAAAATTTTTTCTGATTAGTGATAAGATGGTTTTATTTCTTGAAGCAGAAAAAGTACACTCTTATTTCGAAATTTATGATTTCATTTCCTTAACTGGTTTCTCAGGGCTTGGGACACCTATTAGACGAGGACTAGGTGGCATTTCAATGCTGAAGTGGTCGCCAACTGGGGATTACTTTTTTTCGGCAAAATTGTACTTTCATCATTTGACCAGTTGCACTTTTATGTTTCTTAATCTTAGTTGAAAATGGGACAGTTTTGGATGAACAAGATGATCATTCTATTCTTTTTCAGTGATGGAACATTTTATCTTTGGGAGACAAACACATGGACATCTGAACCATGGTCTTCAACTAGTGGCTTCGTCAAGGTAAACAAAATTGACATCTAACTAATTTGTTGTTGCACGCAATTTTTTGTCTTGATTTTCTATTTTCTAAATTGATTACCCTTACACACTGCTATAAAAACATTTTGATGATTGAGGTCTCAGCCTATGGTCCATTATTCTGTATTTTCTTTTCTTTTCTCCTGTTTTCTTTTATTTTATTTTTTGTCCATTTTGTGCTGCATAGAAATTCTATGGTGTTCACCTCAAATTCCTTGCAAGATTTTTTAAGTTTAGGCTACCCCCACCTTTTGCACCTCTCTCTCTCTCTCTCTCTCTCTCTCTCTCTCTCTCTCTCTCTCTCTCTCTCTCTTCCGTATGACTAATTACTTACTCATGAATCGCATTTAATGGCACATTTCCATAACCGAAAGCACGTTATTGGTCGAAGTTTTTACCTTTTTATTTATACTTATACTCATTATGACTAATTACTTACTCATGAATCACATTTAATGGCACATTTCCATAACTGAAAGCACTTTATTGGTCGAAGTTTTTACCTTTTTATTTATACTTATACTCATTGTGTCTTGTTATACTAGGGAGCATCATGGGATCCTGATGGGCGTATGATACTTCTCGCTTTCTCTAAATCTTCAACCATGGGTTCAATTCACTTTGCTTCAAAGCCTCCATCACTTGGTATGTGAGCTTAGATGAAAGTTATGTTTGAGTGCGTTGACATCTATTGCCTTTTTATCTCTATTTATTGTCTGTTTTTTTTTTTTTTTTTTCCAACTTATGGACATGAAAAAATTGTTGGAAACCTAACAAAAGGCATATAAGATATTTGTTGTGTTGCTTTCAAGTGCAAATATAAGGATAGTATAATGGCACAAGTAAGGGTGTCAAACCACATGGCTGATTAGAACCCTACAAATTACTAGCTTTATGTGAACCCTAACTAAGCAATGAAAATGAAAACTGAATTTAGATTTTTGTTTTGAAAGCTAAAGTAACTTAAAATGCAAGAGAATGTAAATATGAATAATAGAATGATTCAGAAACAATGGGAATGGAACTAGGGATACCGATTTCACCATTACAAGTCAATTCTATGAAAATTAAGTCAAAACGCATTCAACTTTCCAATCTGCGACTAGGGTTCGTTTTACTCATTTATGATCATCCATTTGATGTATGGTTGTGATCAAGTACTCCTAATCTGCAACCTAGTTGTGATGTTCAACTTAGATTACCAAATAAGAAATCATTAAAAACAAGAAAACTTCAAAGAACCAAAGAAATCACATGGCAAGATGTATGCATAGCAGTTTCTTCATTCATTCACATGTCCACCAAGATTAAGCATGATGTGTACTATAACCTTGATCAAATAATTCATAAGCAGCCCCAATGGTGATCAAACATTAAGATTAACAAACAAATTATACTATAAAATCAGTGAATGAAACAAGAACACGGATTGGTAATTTGAATACTTTAACTTAATAACACAGAATAGGTTTGCAAGGCTACATTGAATTCCCTAGCTATGAACTTAATTACACAACATGATTACATAATATATAAATATAAAAAACAATATGAGTGAAATTAAAGTTCATAGAAGAAACCCCCTTCAAGAACAGCGCGGTTGGTGGTTTCTTCGGTGTCAGGGGATGGTGAAAGGAAATAGGGTTTTGTTTTTGGAAGAAAGCTTGAAGAAAGAGAAGAGAGAGCTCTGGGCAACCCCCAAGGGGGCTTGTTTAAAAGTGATCTGAAACCCTAGTATTTATATGCTAAATGGGGCTATAGCTGATTGCAAGGTGATCCCAACCATTAAGCCAAAGTTTTGAACGTTTTTCCTTATTTGGCTTCTCCAAATCAGGCTAGATACTCCAATTCCTTTCCCATTTTGCTCCTGGTCTTCTAACAAGCCAGATTCGTCTTGGATTCTTTATTTGAGCTTCAAAACAGGCCACTAAACTTCTCTCCACGTTTGAACAGGGTCAGCTACAAAAATGGCATGTTTTCACTTCTTTTGCCTTCAAATTGATCCTGAAGTACATGTAATCGCACATTAACACAAAATAAGGTAAAATGCAACCAGTTTAACTCAAAAACATCACAAAGAGACTAGAAATGGATGGTATAAATGCATGAAATATAAGAGTTATCAATATTTTGAATAAGAAGTTAACATATAAGATGTTTTGAATAATAATTAAGGTTCTCTTCTTTCTAGTGGAAAATAGTTCGAGAAATCTCGGAAAGAATGCAAAACTGTGGATATAGAATATGAAATTTGAGAAAAAAGCTCAGCAACAATATTTTAGTGCTTTGGAGGAAGCTTTTAATCTTAAACTGATATCTATATTACTTGAGGTAGTACTTGGGTATTGTCTAGTGTTATTAAGACATCCAAAGATTGAAAATTGCATTTGTCTTTATGATCTCAGATTCTCTGTTGAAAAGGAAAACTTCAGAAAGGGAGAACAATCTATTTATTGTATTGCAATTTGCAATGAATGGAATTCATGAGCTATTTATAGGATCAAATCTCTCTGAAAATCTGCTGTAGAATTTCAACACGTAAATCAAGCTAACAAGCAATTACAATGACTGTTAACTTAAGAAATGAGGAGCGTAAATCAAGCAATTTAGTTATAATTTCCTACTTTAATAACACTCCTGAAGTTTGAGCATAGAACCTGACTCTCAGCTTGGTGCAAGTAGAATGAATCTTGTGATATGCCTAGTGAAGATGTCAACAAAATACTTTTCAGTGGGATAAATGAGTCAAAACCTTTTCTGATGCCACTTTATTGTGTTGGCTCGTGATTTTCTATTTGTTGGAAAACCTGCCCAATCTGCACCGTGATATCCCTCAATACGAGGATTTCTTTATTTCAAAAGAATAAAAATTCTCTGAATACATTTCCTTGCTTAGTGGGAGCAGTGTAACCTTGGGAGCTAATATTGACTTATTTTTTTAAAGAAGCATTTTCATGTAGACTGCGTTCCTTTTGACAGATTGGTAATGTGATGGTTGTCATGAGGAAAAAGAACTTGTGAAATTCGATTTTGAAACAAATGTCAACGGTGTCATGACAAATAACAGTTTTTGACATGCGCACTTATTACCTGTTGAAGTGATGTTTGAATTTTATTTCTGAATCTCACTGGTAAAGTGATGTTTGAATTTTGCAGATGCGCACTTATTACCTGTTGAACTACCAGAGATGATGTCCTTAACAAATAGGTATACATTAATTCATTTTTATTGTTTATTTTTCACTATTTGGATTGCTTTATGAGCGTTTGATCAACGACATCTCATTTAATGGGCTGTCTTCATGAGTTGATTGGAAAAGACAATTTTATTGGCATTATTTCTTGATAAGCTAGATGTTGTAATCGAGTTAATTTGAGACTTTTTTTTTTTTTTCATTTTTTAAATATTTTATGGTACCCATTAATTTTCTTAATTCCTGAAATGTCTAGTAAGTGGGCCAGCTGCCTTAATTAGGTAGTCACAGGTGAAGCCAGGTTTTCAACATTTCAGGTTCGGAGTACTTATAATGCTTACTGAATTAAATCTTACTTTGTCATTCACCCATCATGTTTACTGCCCCTCACTATGCGATCACAGTGCTGTGTGCTGCCATGTACTCCTGTACCCAAAGACAATGCATTTGCTACTAATTGCCGTCTGAAAACAAAAGAAAAAGTCAAAAAAATGAAAAGGAAAGAAAAGAAGTAGTTACTAAAGTAGACGTGGTTATGCTATGCATATTGCCTGATATGTAAATGAATAGATTTAAGGTTCCAGTTTGCGATCGTTTTCATCCTTCCGCTCTTGTTTCCTTAGGATTATGTTCGTGCCTGGACTTTCTGTTTCAGTTTGGACAAGAGATTAAACATTCTTTATGAGGATTGAATATTGATTGGACTAAACAGTCCTCAAACTAATAATTTCAGAAAAGCTTTACGGTTTATTATTTCACATTATAGTTGCATTGCAATAAACATCGGGGTAGATATACATTGTAATGTTTGTCCAAAACAGTTGTGATTTGTTGTTATCTCCTTCAGTCAAGGCATTGAGAAGATAGCTTGGGATGCTTCAGGAGAGCGACTGGCTATATCTTTTAAAGATGGGGGTGACTTATACCGGGGTCTTATTGCCATTTACGATGTTAGGAGGACCCCTCTAATATCTGCATCATTGATGTGAGTTGATTATTCTTATTGTTTGTATTGTAGTTACCATACTTTTTCTCTTTCTCTAAAACATTGGCTGAATGATGCATTTTATCTGTGTATACACGGTTCATTGAATTAATTTTGCTGAAAAAGGGGATATGAATCCTTGTGTTACTAACGATTTACCATGATGTGAATTCAGTGGGTTTATTAGAGGTCCCGGAGACAATCCAAAACCAGTGGCATTTTCATTTCATGACAAGTTTAAACAGGGACCATTGCTTTTTGTGGTAAGTCCGAGTCCTAGTACTCAAATGTTGTGTGCTTTTGCTTTACCCCATGGTACTTGGAACCCTTGTCTATAATCCGTTTAAGTGTGTCTCTGTATCGATTTCTCGAAAATAAATGATGAAATTTTAGACAAACTAGTGCTTTTGCTTTTGCAGTGTTGGAGTAGTGGATTTTGCTCTACCTACCCTCTCATATCTCGTTCCCATCTTCTTCCCTAGTTTGTTACCGCCCGAGTTTCCAGTGACTAGGAGACTTTGTAGCTTATTTTCACTTCACTCTTTTTTTCAATGCTGAAAGGGAAGTGTTTATTGTAAGGTACGATTATTCAGTGTTGAAAGGGTTCCTTCTCACAATGAATTACAGAAACCGGTTTTGTCAATTCCACTGCTTTCATTTCACCTCTAAACAATTCCAAGTGCACAACATTTACAAATAAATATACGCGCCCGAAGCAACTAAGAAATGCCGTTTTTGTGAGGTTATTTCATATAATTACACTGGATTATTGCATATGATTACGCTGGGACTGGCAACTGGGTTATTTTACTTGACTTAATTGACACGATACAATGTTCATCCCTAACTTTCACATAGAAGAAACAAAGAGAGATTCCAGTAACAAATCAATTGAGGTGAAGGACTGCGGGGAGATTACAACTTCCATTTCCTCACCAGCCGACTCCAGCAAGCTCTGTTTCGGTATCACCTGCATTCAGTTACATTGCCCACACAACTGTTATCTTTCTTGATTTCTGATCCTAATTTGCAGGCAACACTGGTTCCCACGAATTCAAGCGTTTAGGATACCAAAGGAAAATATTAACGATACAAAGTTGATTCAGTTACCTTCTTTGGTTCTTTAAAGGAATTCTCATCCATCAAGTTGTTTGATGTAAGCACAGTTTTTGTCGATCCAGATGGACTAATAGAATTTGGCTCCAACCCATTCACAGAAACCTTCAGATTCACTGTGTTGGTTCCCAAGTTCACAACCTGCGCAAGGCAATAATCATCACAAATTAATGAAACGTCACAGAATACGATATGCACCATACTGGTAGAAACCGTTTTCACTCGGTGATAAAAAGAAGCCGAAACAGAAATAACAGAGAACAATGGATGACTGCGTAAATGATATTGACACTTCTCCAAGAAATGTTAATGTATTTGTATGAAGACACTACTGTACTACAGAAATATATCATCTCTAAGAAAAAGTTGATGGATTACTGACATGCCCCGGGCAATATGATTTTTCATTATTTATTTCCTTTTCCTTGGAGGATGTTCTACATACTTATAAATTTTTTTAAAGATTCCTATTGTAGCTACAGTTTAAACATGTAGTTGCTTCAGACAAGATACGTATGGAATTCCAAAATTGAGCAGAAAATGAAGAATATTGAGGGTTTAGGGTTTAGGAATGAACAACATTTACGGGCTAAATTATTAAGGATCAAATTCAAAGAGAATGGACAGTATTTATAACGAAAATAAAGAGCAACTGCTCCAGACAAAGTATAATATACGTTATTCTGAAGCAACAAACGACAGACTAGTTTAAGAACAATGTGATAAATGAGCTTGTTTCCATTCTAGGCCGTCCAACTACGTATTAGAATGGCTATAAACACTTTAAGGGTATTGACATGTTATAAGTTATTCATAGAAAAAACAAAAGGTTGGATGACCGATCTCAACTAAACATAAAAAAAAGTAATACCTTTATTCTTAGGTAAGTATTCTTGTTTTTTGAGTTTTTCCACGAAATTGCAGATGCAAGAAGTGAAGTAGAAGAATTTGTTTGGAGTGTTGTGTTGTAAATAGTTGCTCCGCTAGATTCGTTGAAAAGACATTGCACCCAGTAGCTAGGAGTCCCGTAAAGCTGTGAGGAGTCAAAGACAATTGCATCCGGATTCCACCTAGATGACGGACAAGTTTCAATTTAGTAATAACTAAACAGCATCGATCCTCTTTTGCAAACAGCATTGAAAACCACCCTAATATGTAAAATTTAAATTAGCCAAAAGGAACAAGCGGAGAAGTATACCGCCTGTCATGGGTATTGACAAAGAGTGGTGCATAACTTGCCATCTCAACAACATCACTGCATTCGTAGACAAAAAAAAATACTCAGTAGCTGCCCAGTTTAACAATTATAGAAACATTTTTGCTAAAATTAGATGCAAAGGTGACAACCCCGGAATCCCCATGTACATAAGAAAACACTTAGGGTAGGGAACTGTAATGAAAAACCACAACAATAACAACAACAACAATAAAGCCTATCCCGCTAAATGGGGTTGGCTGTATGAATCCCGGAGAGCCAAATTTTCTGCTAGCTCCAAGTACTCCATTTCTTTTCTTAAAGTCTCTTTCCAACTGTTCTTGGGTCTTCCAATACCCCTATTGCCCCGAGGCTCTAGTTCATATTCGCATTTTCTAACTGGAGCACCTGTAGGTTTTCGATTCACTTGTCCAAACCACCTTAACTGATTTTCTCTCATCTTATCTTCAATTGCGGCTACCCCTACTTTACCTCGTATATCTTCATTCTTAATCCTGTCCTTTCTTGTGTGCCCACACATCCAACGAAGCATTCTCATCTCCACTACTCATTTTTTGCACATGTTGATGCTTGACCGCCCACATTCTATGCCATAAAGCATTGCTGGTCTTATTGGTTGAGATCTCCATCCAATTCTCCGTTCTTTTGCAAGATAGATCCAAGGTAACAAAAGCATTGACTTTTTGGTACTTCCTAATCTCCAATCCTCACCCCTATCTCTTTGCCTATAGCATTAGGTGAAATTATCATGAGAAACTGCGATTTCTACATATTTTAGTAGTTCATTATGCAATTTACTGCTAGAGTTAATATCAAGACAACCCGTAACAAATGGATATTATCTGGACGCCTTCATCCCTACAAACCATTAAAATAATAAAAGCTAACTCTTGTTCAAACACTCGAATTTATAATCTGAACAACGAAAAAACATTAGAATTTCTAGTTGCCAAAGCATTCCTATGCTTCAGGTATATCAGGAGACCTCCAACCTTAACTTTACTCAATAATCCATGCCACTGAGAGGAACTATTTAATGAATACCATCCTTCTTAATCAGATTCCTGGACAACCTTCAAGCACTGGCCATCTTTAGTCTAGTAATATTTCTATGGGATTGGGAATAACAGAACTCTTCGATTGACAATAAACAGATGTGCAGCTGGTCTTACACACGGAGATGTTGTAACACACTACATGGTTGTGACATGCAGAAATGCAGGAACGAAATTAACTTCTTTGAGAAGAAATACTGTATTTGCAAATATATCATATTATAAAGTAGTAGTATATAAAATTATGCGTAGATGTACAACACACCTGTTTTTCTCCAGTCCAATAAGAAATCCGGCTTCAGCTAATGCTGCTAGAAGACTTCCTGTTCCGGCATCTTTTCCAGTCACGGCATACTCGCTCACAAAAGCCTGGATCATATTGAAAGCTAAGAAAGAAAAATAGGTAGGAACTTGGAGCAGGTTAAATCATACAAAGGCTTGTGAACTACCTTGGGACCATCACGTGATGTGTGATCAAAATGATTAGCCATAGAAAACAAGTCGCTGGAAGATGTATAGATCTAAACAAAAAACAGAGGGTAAGAGTACTATCGCAAATGTCATCCATGTCGCCAAATCTTCTATGGCCCCATACGTTGTATGGTAAAGATGATTATTGTCAAGTGGAATACAAGTAGCGGTGTTATGATACTTACATGAAAATCATACATATCAGCTGGATGATCCAACTTTTGAGAAATTCATCTTGATGTCAGGATAGGCTTTTCTTATAGCACTATAGAACTTAAGGTAATTTCCTGGTCAAGAGAGAGGGAAAGCTTAAGTCTTGATGAGAGTTAAAATAAATTTTAAAAAGAAGAATGTCAGATACATCGAATCACAACATTGAAAATCCAAGGTCCCTCTTCCCCGTTTCCAACGGGTTAAAAATGATTGGCTCAGTCACATGCAAGCAGGTGTGTAACGTGTGTTGCGAGAGCAAAATTCCACATCAGGTATATATTCTAAACAAGAAACATGAACTGCGAATTATACAAACCTAGGTAGTTCGTTTTTTTACAATCCTCATTCCCAATAGCAACATATCTCAAGTCAAAAGGTTCTGGGTGTCCCATTTTAACACGAAGAGAACCCCATGTAGAATTAGGACTGCCTCTAGCAAATTCAATACCATCAAGAGCTTCCTATAACCAAGAAATGTGAAAGGTAATCGATCAATTTGAGATTTATCAGCACATACTGTGCATAATAACAAGATTAAGACTTGAATAAAAAAGACACCAATTTGATATCGACAGTTTGAGAAGTTAGAGCCTAATGCAGAAATTCCTAGTAGTGACCAATGCACTGCATGCTTTGTACTGCAGTTTGTCACTATGTTTGATGTATTCCTCGAGTGGCGATTTGCTGCTGGAATCTCTACCCTACCCTCACCAAAGCAACCCAACTTGGCTACAGAAGAGACACTACATTTTAAGCGGTGCATATCCTCTAAAGAGAATAATGAAGTTTTGCTTTGAGAACACTGAAGTCATTTGACACCCATATTTGGTAAATCTTTTATGTTGTACACCAAAGCACACAAAGCTAAGTCGTAGATTTCATGGGTTAAGCATATTTTTTTGAAAAACTTAAGTGTCATCGGCATGTATTTGCTTCAATGATACATCAATTTTAGTAACAGTAAGCCAGTTACCCATTATCTATGGAGAAATGGTCAGCTATCAGGCATACCTGTACAAATGGTAAGACATTGGAAGTATCAACTTGATCATTGTGACTGATTCCTGCAAATTGAGAAAGTTAACACTGACATATATCTAAAGTAACGTAAAAACATGACTATAAAAAGTACAGGCAAAGCGTTGAGAAACAGTGTACCATTATTGAACACCCATATTGGCAATGCGCCAAGGTCCTCTGATAGCTGCAGAAACAAAAGTTTTTTTTAATAATGGTTTACATACAGTACCAGCATTATACTGGGAGCCCCGATCATTCCTCAACAACAAGAAGATACCTACTTGGAGAAACTCAAAATAACCAAGTCCATCATCAGTCCAGTACATCCAAACATCACCAAAGTGTCCAGGTCTCTCCTCCCAGGGTCCAATTGTTTCTTTCCAACGAAATGCATTTCGTAACCATTCACCTTCAACGAAACAGCCACCTAGCCGAACATAAAAATGAAACCCAAGTGTATTAGGTTGCATTCTGAGGAAACAGTGGACATATAAGGCTTACATGATTATCTATTAACCTAAAAATCAAGGATTTTAGCACTGATTGGAATTTAAAAAAGTGTCCCTAGATTATTTTTTTGTCCAAGAGGTCAGGACAGCAAGCACAAAGGTTCCAGAATAAGGAAAACAAATTTCATGTTCAAATACATACAGAAACATCAGCATTTAAAATAATCTATTTGATAAGTACGAGTTTTTAAATTTGAGAAGTGTTGCATAGTAACTTTTCGATCACACACACAGATACATATGTACATATTCAATGTACATAGTTAAGTTCATCTATTCGCCTGCCATAGCATAGACATTCACTTCATGCTATTCATAGAAAATACATACTTTTAGTATGATTGTAACTAATTTCCAAGTAATAAGCTAATAAATACATCATGTTTATTTCTTCATCAACGATATATTTCTGTCAGATCGCTGAAAATTCACTACTAAATCATATATCAATAGTATAAATTATGAATTGTTTCTCAACTAAAATTAGGAATATTAACCACATAGAAACATTGTTTCTTTGTAAAAACTGTGAATGTCATTGCTATTTCAGCTATATAATAGAGTTATATATGAAAAGTTCAAGTTTAGCAGCAGTCAAGTATTAAGTTGTAATTCCCGATTTACCTGGAAATCTGAAAAACCGAGGTTTTAAATCAGCCAACATTTGGACAAGGTCCTTCCGAAATCCATGTCCCTGAGCCAAATCAATTGATTCTTAATGAGTAACGACACATAAGTAATGCATGTATCAGAGTATCAATAAGTTTGAATCTTTACAAGTAAGCATGTCGAAAGTTGGCAAATCAATATACATGGGCATAAACTTTGAGTAACACCAGATTACATGACCAAATTTCCGAAAAAAGGAAAAATGTAAAATCTAAGTTCAATTGTTTTTCAATAAAATGTTTTTATAACATTACAGAATCCAGAATATTCTGTTTCTTACTTTAGTTATAAGAACATAATTTTATTTCTAAAAGTACCTCAAGAGAGAATGGATTTCCTTTTCTCTCCAAGTAAAGTACCACAGATACCTGGCGCACCCAACTAACATTTCCTTCCTCACACAACTTTTTCCATGACTCCCAAGCCACCAGACAATGAATAAAGAGGTGAACTGTGGACTCAAGATTAGCTTTTCATGACTTATTTGATGTGGATTTTCTTATCAATTGCCTCAAGAAATTTCATTTTCATTTGTCTTGGCTACAACTTCATGTATTTTCCCATAATCCCGACCAGAATCCACCTCTTAATTTGGGCTCTATATTCTCCCTTTGTTCAATCCAATGGCTTAACAATAAGTGGTGTGCAAAAATCAATTCCCAAGAATATATTTGTGTGTTGCGTGTGTGTGTGTGTGTGTGTTTGTGCACACACATAATTGTACTAACCTTGAAAAACAAGGATCAGGTGATTAAACACATCTAAATAGTGAGATGACACAATCTCAAGCCACAAGCATGCATGAATTCGGGGAGAAAAAAGGTACCTTATGTGTATCCAAGGGAATGGCCGACACTTGATCAAACCATATCACCCCTTTACTATTTGTTGTCAATTGCAGTCTTGAATTAGGATTTGTTCCTTGGGCTTCCATTTGAATCTGGAATTTTGTCCAGTTTGAAACTTCTGAACCAGAAGCGCTGCATACAGAATGAAAATACAAAAGTTAAATCTTGAATGCGGAATAAAATTGTTTTAGTAAGGAACGTTTGATTGCAAAATATCAACAGAACAGAGGATGCGCACATAATGTTAGCAGCAGCAAGTTTCTGCAACCCATCTGAGCCCGTCAGTGATAGGGATACATTGATTGATCCAGATGAACGAACATGAAGCACAACACTGTAGGTCTTCCCCTTTTCTATATTCTGAACAAAAAATCTAAATAAAAAGACCGTACCAAAGAGCCAGAAGGAACAAATGCAGAAAATATATAAATATGGGTCGGCTGTTATTGTTATTCTTGTCTGTGGAGTAAAGTTATCTTGCCATAAAAATGGTCATGTTGCTAAACGATGAACATGACCACAAATTCTGGCAAAAATCGACTTGATGAATGGTCATATTCACAGCTTATGTTGCCAGCCAGTCTGCCATGACAACATTTCCATACGTGTGTGTGTAGGTTGCGAAGGTTAGGCATTACAGCGAATAACTTTAGTGTGCAAAAAAAAAATCCCACTCAAATGGACAGAGGGGAAAACTTTCACAACTTTTAAATGGGAGAACTGAAACGCATAGGAAGGAAGGAAAAAGATATATGGAAAACTGAACCCATTCAGACGAGGTGTAAAAGTTCATACCATGCCCCAGAACCCAGGGTTATAAATTCCAACACCCCCAGCAGGGCAGCTATTGGCGCCTTCACTGTCACATAGTACCTCCATTCGGAGTGCAACCTTATTGCGGTCAAAGCATGATGAACGGTCTGTTGACACAATCAAAGAGGATTCATTCCCAATTATAGCCCAAGGATCAATGTTAGAAGGAGTGTTAGGTCCCCCAGCTTCAAAACCTGTGGGAAAAAGTTATCGAGAAACCCAGCTTTAAAACAGCCTGTTAACATAACGAACCGGTATAGCTCATGTAGTATTTGATATTTAGCTACAGTACATTCTGCATTTGATATAATTCTAACGAAAAATTTGTAACCTCATACTGAATAATTCAAAGCCATTCATAAACTTCGACAAACTTAAAACTGACAACATGGTAAAAAATTGAAGGGTTGAAAAAAAGAGGGATCTGGTAGTATGTATTCAATGCAGACAGTGAAATATATAAAGATGGAAAACAGTGTCATACAAAAAAGGAGAAAAATTCTCGATTGTGCACCAACCACACTCACACAAGAAAAATTGACTTCCGTGAAGTACAGCCTAGTCCATCTCTAATTGCACATTGAAGTGTGAGCTGACAGAAACATATAAAATCTTGTCTTTTCAGACTGTATCTCGTCTTCGCTAGATATCTCAGAACTTGAATGTTCAAATGATGTGAGACATCTTGCAAGAAGGCGATCCTTTCTAAGAAGCTGACTATAATTTGGCAATTCTCTCTTGCTAGTAAAAAAGATGCTCACGTCACCAGACTGATTTTGAACCACACATTCATGCCGCAATAACCTAATCATGGTCTACATTTACAACCTAGCAACAGAATAATAAGCATCTTATGTTGCTAGACAGAGCGAACATTTCCCTATATTTGCTATAATTTCACTTTTATATTTAGCTGGAATTCAGAGAATTTGGAAGTAACCTCTGTTGCTTACAAGCTCAGCCCACACCCCGCCAGCACCAGCGTGATTAATCTCCTGCAGTGAACAATTTTTAGAAATCTGATACTTCTGCACAAATTTTAAATTAAATTTGTTGGAAGTGAAACCAAAGATGAGTAATGGAACCTCAAAGAAAATTCCAAACAGTGTGTCAGATATTGGGCGTGCGGATGCTTGAGAAGCATCGACAAGCAGGTTTGCTGTCTGGTCCGTATCAACTCCAATGGCAAAACAATGATAGAAGAAGCAAAGCAAGAGATATAGCAGAAGAACAATGTGAGGGGATTTGCAAGAGCCCATTGCGCACTTTCCACAACCAATACTGACTAGAGCCTAATAAAGTATCGATAACCGAGAGAATTCAGTTACATCTGATCAATTAATTAAACAGAAACAAAGAAGAATCAGAAAGTGCAAAATGGTGTTTCAGGTTTACAACAACAACAAAGCCTTATTCCACTAAGTGGGGTCGGGTACATGAATCCTAGATCGCCACTGTGCTCGCTTTCAGGTAATCAGATATAATTAAGGCAAAGCAGCTATACTATACACAGAAGCTCAATCAAACTAATACAATTAACATGAATTAAGCAACTGCAATGCTGTGTTGACCAACTGAACTGATCAAGGACAATTTCTTCCAACAACCATTGATTTATTCAACTCAAACTAGTCTATATATAAATATATTTTTGTTTAAATTAAAATAAAAAAACCCAACAGAATACCCACAAGGATGGTGGATTTCATTTCAAAAACTCTGCAAACAAATTACCTGAATAATCTCTTGTCGCTTTTTTTCTTGCTGTTGGTCTCCAAGACTCCAAGCTCCAATCAAGAAAGAAAGATTGGTTTATAAAATCGATATTTCCAAGAGGCATGCAGAAAAGTGCTAAGAAGAGTGTGTTCACTCGGTGACTCGGTCTGTGTTTTTTTATCTGGTGGCTAGTGCTATATATATATATATATATATAGAGAGAGAGAGAGAGAGAGAGAGAGAGAGAGAGAGAGGAGTATCGGGGGGTTTGCCTTGCTTTCACGTAAGCAGATGCAGAGCAGAGGCCATCAAGCAAAAGCAAGCAGGCAATGAAGCTAGCCAGGCTCAGTGACTGCCCGCCCGTCTGAGGAAGCGGAAGTGGGAGTGGAAGTGGATTACAACCAAAACCAAAACTAAAGACATTTCGATTTGCTAAGAAATCTTGTGCGTCCCACTGGCACGGTCCCACCCGAGAGAAAATAATATGGGTGCATTTTTGCTCATCATTTTAAATTTTGGTGTGTATTCACTATGCATCTAATCATCTATCAAGTGTCTTTTTAATTAATTTTGGTTAATTTTTTTCAAAATTGAAAAAGTAACATTTAATGTAAAGGTTAGCTAGAGTTAGGTGAATGACACATAACAAATGATTAGATGTATGATGAACATACACCCTAGTTATGTCGGTGAGCAAAAATGCTCCCAAATAATATATCCAATGTTGCTCTGAAAATAGTCATTGAAAAATGTATTCTTTCAACAGACAATTTTCTTTTGATACTTATAACACTATTGCTATAGTAATATAATTCATATATTGATATTATACTCATGAAGTTAATATATTGGACATAATTCATTTTTAGGTAAATTGCCAAAATGGTTCATGAGATTTGCATAACTCATCACTTTGATCCCTGAGATTCCAAATCGATAAAAGTGGTCCCTGAGATTGTCCACCATCCATCATTTTGGTTTTTCGGTTAAAAACTCCGTTAAAAGTCCCAGAGCTCTTGGCCGGAAGTTTGGACAAGGGCAATTTTCAAAGCTTTGTAACTCAATCGTTTCTTAACCAAATTCGATCCATAATATATCAAAATGAAAATCATACTTATCGACTAGACAAAGAGAATGATACCTTTTTTTTATGGCTAACTCGTTGTGGTTTGGTTGGAAAAAGACTCGAAAGTGGTTGTCTTGGTCTTGAGTTAGCCACATTCGAGTCATTTTTCCAACCAAACCATAGCGAGTTAGCCGTAAAAAAAGGTACCATTCTCTTCGTCTCGTCGAGAAGTATGCTTTTCGTTTTTGAATCACTTGATTTCGTTGAGTATTGAAGAAGTTATGAACGTTTAAAGTTTACCTAGTTTCCGGCGAGTTTTCAAGTTTTCACTCGGACCAGTCAACTTTGAGGCTATTTTCCGGCCATCTTCGGCAACCATTGGGCTTTGAAATAGGTATAATCTTATTCTACACTTTTCTATCTTCATTTTGATATATTATGGGTTGAATTTGATTAAGAAACGATTGAGTAACGAAGCTTTGAAAGTTGTCCAAACTTCTGGGCATGAGCTCCGGGACACTTAACGGAATTTTTAACGGAAGGACCAAAATGATGGATGGTGAACAATCTCAGGGACCACTTTTATCGATTTGGAATCTCAGAGACTAAAGTGATAAGTTATGCAAATTTCAGGAACCATTTTAGCGATTTACCCTTCATTTTTTTTTGTCTTAACGTGAAAGGCATGTACAAGTGTAAGTCAAATAATATATTGATAATGCATCGACTCGTGTTTCCAACGCATACACAGATAGAAAAATCTGCTGCCTCACCTAACCCTTATCCCCAACAAACATTCATCCGCCTGACGTACAAAGGTAAGCGCGCAGGCACCTGCCGTAGATGGAACATTCCCCCTCATCCTTCTCATCCTCATCGTTTATGGAATTGGGATACAATTAATTTGTCTCGTCCTTTCCAACCAAAATAAATAAAATCAATATTTGTTTGTCACTTAACATTACCATCTAGTACTATTCTTCTTTATTTATAAATGATGAATCTTAATTTTATTTTTTGCCAAAAACAAATTTGAACCACATTATTGCTAGCTATTATGAGGCTAAGCTGAGCTCCCTCCCTTAGTGTAGATTGTATTGTTTGTTCGAATTTGAACTATATTATTGCTAACCATTATAAAGTTAAACTCGCCCCTTAACATGTATATTATCGTTTGTTCGAAGAAAAGAAAGGGCAAGTGTCTTTTTTGTCCTTTTCATCTTTAGTTTGCTTTTTTACGTAACAAAATAACCTGATCGGATCGGATCGGAGAGTTTATCTCGTGAAGCACCCTTTTTCCGGCGGGGGGGGGGGGGAGGGGGTTGTTCGTTCATTATAAGAGGTGTCACGTTCTTTTGAAATTTTGTTTTAGGGGACCATTCCTCTTTTTTTTTTTTTTTTTTTTGTCGAATTTAAGGGACCCCTTCAATACGAAGACAATTTTCATAGCCATTAGTTTGACGACTTACATAATACGATTATCCCACCGCAGTATGATGTTGTCCCAAATCAATGAAACAAGAACTAGAATTTCTCCCCGTCTCTCACACTTTATTTTTGTCATTTTGTCTCTATTAAAAAATCAATATAAGATATTAACATAACTTAAGCGTAACCATTCAAATAGGAGAGGAAGGGGAGATAAATTAGGAGAGAGAGTCGTCCTAATATTTTTTTCTTCACCTCATTGACACGCAAGTATACCCGTGTCATGTCAATCATTCTTCATTCGTAGTGCGAATAAACTAACGGTTCCTATGAGAGAAGCACTCGAAAGAAGACGTGGGTTTTGGGATTTCAATACGTTGCTCTCCCATTGGAATTTGGCGAGGCATAACCTTGGTTTGATAAATGAGAATGCAACATGTAGGTACATCATTTCCAAGGAAAAGAACTCATACAAAATTTCTGCTACTCTAGCTTCCCCCAATCAGCGAAACTAACTTACTGATGCTGGGGGCATACCGTATAACTAGAGAGAGATTCGAGGCCAAGCAAAACACAAAAATCATTCTATCAGTCCACTAACATTAAAACGTACCGGAGTTTACGAATCCAGCCGCCTAAGGCAGACCTCGTTGGACAAATGCCTAACTAGTAAGTACCAGCCTGCTCCTCCTAGGGTACAGGTTACTAGCTCCTCCAGAAGAAGCTCTACAAACCACAACTACGAACCTAAATTATGCACTCTCAAAGATGGACTAATGGACAATATGATTTTGTACAATAACTTCAAACCAGTCCCCAGTCTCCGGTCTACAACACTCAAAACCATTTTTTCCAACAATCCTGGGGCCTCAAGGAAAACACAAACCCACACGCACAGATGGAAGCCAATGCATGCCCTAGAGAAAATGCACTTATAACCCTGTGCAAATGCACATAGGGTTTAGGTCCTCCCATTCCACAAAGCAAGTCGTTAATAAACAACGAAGAAGCCTACTTTTCCACTAAAAACGAAACCACACAGACGAAAATAAACTAATCCACAGGAAATCTCCTAGGATTTTAATGTTACAACTTCATACATTAATAGTACATTGACAATGCTGAGAACGGATCTCGCATGTGCCCATTAACTAAAGTCACAAGGGGCAAGTATGATGTTCCTCAATACCTGTGAAACCAGATGCCGTCAAGGTAAAGAAAACAGAAAACGGGACACACATACTGCATCATCCTCTTCTTTCCGCCAAGTAATACAAACCTGCACAGGGGACAGGGCAATATGAAAGGGTAAGAACTTCACTTAAATAGAAAAAATATGAAGTCACGTAATATTTGGACACCGAAAAGGATCAGTACAGAAATAGAGCAACAGAGTTACATTATATAAGTTCACAAGGCCCACATAATTTGATACAAGATCCTCACAAAAGTAACTCTCGAAGGCGTTCATGACTTAGCTCAAGTTTAAGGAAAAATTCAGTAATCAAGCTAACATTAAATTATGATGTACCGTTCATATTTATCGACATGATTAATGATCCAAATGGCATTTCACTATTCACAAGGATGGATACCTGCACTCATTAGTTAGTTCCACTCAAACCCATTTTCTCTAAAACTTGTTATCGCAAATAAATCAATCCCCCATGGGCTGTGACCTAGTGTTACTTTTCTGCGTCTGGTTTTTGATATTCTCACTTCTCACCTTGCGATGCGAAATAAGTGAAAACAGCTCAATGAAAATTTGATGCATGGGTGGCTATGGCATTGAACTATTAAAATACAGGATTAACAATAACAATAAGGATTGCTGGCCTGAAAGTGGCATGTATGTAGATATACAATAGAGACGGATCATGGGATAAACAGGACCCAAGGGAACGCCAAAAGCTTGACTGGCTTTTATGACAAACTCTTACTTTGGAATTTGAGACAAAAATTGATTCAACAAACACACAACATGCACAATAGAATTCTTTACACATTTTCTGAACCAACATTTTATGAAAAGAATGTCCCTTCCACATATTTTGACTTCAAACAGGCGAGATATTCATGCAAAATCAACATATTTCATGATAACATATCACATGTTTCATATTGATAACACATGAACCAAACATAAACTTTTTCATTATCATACATGCTTCGTTCAAGATTGAATCATTCTTTAAAGTCCGGTTAATTTAAGAAGCATTTATATGATGAAACAAAAAACAAGACAAACAGAAAATGTATCATAGTAAGAAATAAACTCAGTCAGGAAACTGAAAGCCTCTAACCTTCTTCTAGATGCATAATTCATCAAAGTTCATACTCATCTGATACACCCATTAGTAAAAGAAGCTTCTGCACTTTATTGACCCGCAAAGGCACACTTTCTTCCTATGGTATGCTTTCTCTTGAGGGACCACCCCATAATCATATGTCAACTCCGTCATAGGAGGAATGTGTCCAACCGCATAAAACGCAATATGGAGGTCAGCCTCATTTTTAGTTTCTCGTAAAACTGGCTGCCAAAGTATGTTTGGAGAACAGCTATGATTCATAAAACGAGCAACATTTCCAGCAGTATTTGCACTTATAATAAGAGGAAATGGGGCCTTTGAAGTCTCCTTAGAATCACCAGGCAAAACTCCGAGTGGTTGACAGGTATGAGTAGCATCGAAAATGTAATCGTCTTCATAATCACTCCCCATTTCTTCTACCCCAGAAATATTAAGAACTTGTCCTGCATATTCACATAAGAAAGAACCAGCGCGGATGGGATCCAGTGACCGTAGACCCCAACCTTTATCCTTAGTTTTAAACACCTCCAGACGAACTTTCAGGCCACTTTGAGACACTCGATTCCGACAATTAGGAGGGCACTGACAGGATGGA